TCTATCTACGTAGATAAATTAACTATTGAACCTCAGATAATGGGCTAAAAATCTCAAAAAAGGAGACGACAAAAGCTTGTCGCAGTCAGGCAACTCAGCACTCTTCAATATTTTGAATAGTGCTCAAGCGACAAAACTATTATCAGAGATTCAAATAGCAAGTTTTGTAGAGAATTCAATTCTATATCGATTGAGCTTAGAACTAACTCTGTGGACTACCGGACAATGCCTCATAAACAACGAATGAAAGTGTCCGATTTTATCTGGGCTACCCGATGCAAAGAACATTTCACACTACTATCATGAATATTTTTACCAATGAACATCTCAACCAGTTCTACAGAAAATTTTTCCTCAACAATTCAACATTCACATACTTTTCAATTTTTGCAGTTCACAACCGTAATCGTTATTGCGGGTTCAAAAGCTCGTGCATTCTATCGGTGTTTACTATCAATTAAAAAATTTCTATCGGCAATAAACGTCAGACTCTTCTTCCGCTTACCCTTGTTCCAATATCATCGAAGACAGTCTTTCAGATCAATTCTGATCACTCGTCTCAATTGACATCTACTCTTCATAAACATTCAATTAGAGCTCGCCGCCTCAAAAGTTCGTTATATCATTTACTGAAGACCTCTTTTGTTCAATCCTTAAGTATGACAACTGCTGCAATCACGAGCACACTCTCTAAAAAGTTACTAAACACTTGTATATCTAAACTTGTTGTATCGTAAATCAATTCATAAAAGAAAAACTGTTTTGTTTTTAAGTACGTTTTAAATATAAACTCAGAAACATGAGTTAAAAGCGAATTTTTATTCTTAGGATACATCTAACCATGACATCGGTTTTTTACTTATTGGTAAAGGTCTAGTTTTGAGAAGAACAAATTCAAAACATAATACTTCCATCTTAGATACTTCCATATTCGAGTCCGGATAGGCGGATCGCTTTCAGAAACAGTAGAGGTTCCATCTGGAGTCCCACAAGGCTCTATTTTGGGGCCGCTACTGTTTCTGATCTTTATAAACGGTCTTCCAGTGGTGACAGCATTGCCAGCTTTATCCTCTCGTTTTGCCGACGACTGCTCGTTGTTATGCCCGATGAGCGTTCTGTGCTCTCCAGCGGACTGCCAGTCTTTTATAGACAAAATAGAGGGATGGTGCCAATTAAATCTCATGACATTAAACTACTCAAAGTGTATGTGGATATACTTCACAAACCGCGAGTAGTCAGTAACAAATAATTTTAATTTTACTATCAATGAAGCTGCGATTAAGCGTGAAACGTCAGTAGTGCTTCTTGGAGTACGGCTAAGCTCAGATCTATCATGGGAAAGGCATATTAGAGATGTATCTCTTGCATGTAAAAGGCGTCTGGGAGCAATGTTTAGAACTTTTAGAGAAGCATCAGTGATGATTCGGTTAACGATTTTTAAATCAGGTATTCTAAGTAAACTGGACTATGGTAGCATTGTCTATGATAGTAAATGGTATGGAGGTGAGCTTGAAAAAGTCACTAGATTAGCGGCACGAATGATATCAAGAAATTCGATGGATCTGCAACATCTTTGGTTAGTAAACTGAAACTTCCAGATTTAAGGATAAGGAGAAAATATTTTAGGCTGCTACATTTTTTTAAAGTAAAAAATGCTATTTCTCCTCTCTCCATTTTCACTCCTCCTTTTATAAAACCGGTAACTGCTCGGAGATCAGATCGATTTAACGTTGATCGACAGAATAGTATGCAGATTGAAACTCCGACAGTTTCCAAAGAACATGTAGCCTCTTCATTTTTTTATCGAACAGCAATCGACTGGAACCCTTTGCCAGATCAAGTAGTGACCGCAAGGACAGTCACTTCTTTCAAAAGAGCACTGTGAATCCATCTGCACATTTGAGTAATCTTTGGTATCTGTCTTACTGCTTTGAACATGTCACTTCTAGCACAGTAGTTTGGTTTTCTTTTTCTTTTGTTTTTTCTTTTTTATGTCTTCTACTGCTCTTCAAACGGATGTTTTTACAAGCCTCTGGCTTTTTGTACTTACCTATATGCATAGGATTTTCTGAAAGATAATTTTCTACACATGAAATAAAGTTCAAGTTCAAGATTTTATCATAGAAGCCCTATAATTGTTGTGTAGTTTCTACTACTTCTTAGTTAAGTAAGTTTTACCATTCCATCTTTTTTTATCCTATTTTTGCAAACATCTCAGAAACAAAGCATTTCTGTGGGAAAACTTGCTTGTAGGATAGTAGAGCTGATCGATTTGAACAAGAATACGTATGAATCTCTCAATATTGCTTGATTCTCTTGGAAAAAGTCATCATCAAAACATTAATGATGAAAACATGCAGCTCTGTTAATACGTCTATCAACATACTATAGTGTAATGGATAGCTTTTGACAAGATTTACAATAATGGACTAAAATAACAAATGAAAATACAAGCGAACATCTGCAAAATTGGGAGAAACGGTGAAGAATACAAAAACTACAGCTATTTGTTTCACAGTGCGTATGGCTATTTTTTAAATAACGTTTTACGGAAGCGTGCTAAAAGGTGTGTTTTTCACTGTTGGAAAGCCAAGACCTAACTGCATCGAGCTAGTTGTGGCACCCGTTAAAATCACCACCTGCAGATGGTGTACTACATCGCTCTTTGAAAGTGCAGATTCCCTAGATCGAAAATCAAAAAATTTATAACTCACTCGAAATCGATTGAGACTATTTCAGAATATGGAGATATACTCCATTTTATCTGCTCCATACCATGAAGCTCAATAAACATTTTAAATATTAACAGAAACCTTTGGTTTTTGGCAAGGTTAGCCAGTAACCTTGAGAAGTAACAGAATCATTTTTATTGATTTTAAGTATATAGTTAACTTGAGCAGATAAAATGGAGTATATCTCGATATTCTGAAATAGTCTCAATCGATTTTGAGTGAGTTATAAATTTTTTGATTTTCGATCTAGGGAATCTACACTTTCAAAGAGCGATGTGGTAGGTACACCATCTGCAGGTGGGGATTTTAACGGGCGCCACAACTAGCTCGATGCAGTTAGATCTTGACTTTCCAACAGTGAAAAACACACCTTTTTAGCACGTTTCTGTAACATTATTTACAAAATAGCCATGCGCATTGTATTGTAGAACAGATTGTACTATCTTTCGATTTCCACTGCTAAAATTAAGTTTCCTCAAAAACATTGTTATATTCATAATTAGCAATTCTCAACAATCAGTTGCTCTCAAGTTCTTGAACAATGATAGAAGAAGACAATGTTTTCGAATAATTTAAAAAACTATTATAACTTATGCACCACTTACTATCGTGATTAGATTTGTACATGAATGTCTGCGTTATAAGGTCAAGTTGTTTAAAAGTTCTGTATAGTAAATTAACAGGGTTTAATAGCTATTTCCCGTTCTTTCAAATACTCAAAAGGGTTTTACTGACTTAATCTATTCTACAAATGAAAACTTCCTCTTCGAAAGTTTTTAAGGATCTTCTGAGATCTAATCCTTTTGAGTATTTGAAAGAACGGGAAATAACTGCCAAATCATGTTAACTTCCTAAAATACGGAGACTTACTCTTTTTCTAATCTAGATATTCATATACTAATCTAATCACAGTAGTAAGATGTACGTAAGTTATAATAGGTTTTTAAATTATTCAAAACATCCTCTTTTTCTATCATTGTTCAAGAATTTGAGAGTGATTGTTTGTTAAGAATTGCGAAGTAAGAGGATCTGTTGACCAATACGACTCATTAACTTAATCTTGAAACAATTTTAGTGCAGATTTTGTCATTGGTTTTATTCTCGACCAAATTTAGCAGTCATGAGATAATTATCGCTTTAAAATTGCTGAAAGTATACTCATCTACAGTTTAAAAAATAAAATGCCACCAGCATCATAAGTGGCAGAAAGAAAATTGCAGAAATTAAATGTGTTATTACATGATTTTTATGCTATTAGACAAACATACCATATACGATGTTACATTAACATAAGTTAGTCTTCCTTTGTAATAACCATGCTTGCAAAAAATAAAAATTCAGTTTAGTTCAGTACGAAAAAACCAATATTGGTACCATGCTAATAAATATCAGTATAGTATACACACATGAATACGTAACGATTTGTTTTAGTTTTAAAGAAATTTTTTATTAGAAAATAATTAAATAAAAAATAGGTTAAATTTTAACCGAATTATAAACCGTTGTTATTTCATCACAAATAAAAATATAAATATAAGCACCTCAAATTCTTAATATAAACAATTTTTTTCCTTTCGAACAAATATGTAGATCTTTATCGTTATCTATACTATTGAGACGATTTTGATTTGGCTTTACGATTAATAAAGGATTTGTTTCATCAAAATTTTCAATAATGCGTATATGTTGTTGTTCAATTTGTAATGGTTGCTGTTGTATTGGAGTCATTTTGACTAACGGCGATGCTGGGTGTAATTCAGTTACTCGAGTTCTTTTATCAAAAGTTGATTGTTGTTGAAATTTTTTATGTGCACGTGAATCAAATAATCTGATAAGTGTGTTTCTGAATTTTTGACCAAAATAACAGAAGAGTAAAAAATTTGTCGATGATTGAACAACCGTTAATAAATAGGCAAAAGCATTTAGAATATTAAATCGTTTTGTCGTAGTTGCTGAAAGATTAATAGCTGTCCAAATATTAAGAGTTAACATTGGCATTTGACATAAGACAAAGACAATAATAACAGTCACTAACATTGTAGTTATGTGATTTTCTGATGCTTTTTTAGCTCCTAGACTCAATTTTTTACGATTCATTTCAATTAGCGATTTTATAATAATACAGTTTATAGCGCACAGTGTGATAAAAGGAATCAAATTGACAACAGGTATATAAATATAAAAGTGTCTAAAACAAAGCAAAACAAAAACGACCATTGTCCTTTAATCTCCCATAGTGTAATTGATATACTTACATATATGTGTATATTTTCGTTCCGAGTATTGTATATTTACAGATCTTGTCTGTTTTATCATAATATTGTTCAAGCCAATAGGGTATACAATAAATAATTGAAAATAAATAAATAAAAAAGATAATGATTACTGTATTTCGTCTTGTACATACGCTTGCTGCTTTTAACGGAAATTTGATAAATATTAGACGATCAATTGATACGGCAACAGTCAAAAATATTAAAGATAACAATATTGTATTTGATATTGCTGTTATAGGTATTTGATCAATAATATTTTCATATGGAAATGGTTCATCATTTAAATACATTTTATAACCTAAAATATATTTGAGTGACTGTTTTGGTATAAATATTAATAAATAAAATATATTTGATGTTGATAAAGCGGTCAAATAAATATTTGTCGATGTTGTACGCATTGTTTTTGAACATAAAACAATAATTGTAATAATATTTCCAAAAATACCTAAAAATTAAAATATTGATAAAAATTATTAAATTTTCTAATTATAAATTTTTATATAATTATACATACCGCATATTCCAATAAAAAAACTAATATAACCAAGTAATATTAAACGTACTAAAAGGATAAAATTCTCATCAATATTTGAATAACTACTACAATTATCGCAATCGGACGAATTCATTTATTCAACATTTTTTTTCATATTTTATAGTCAAATTTATCTACAAAAAAGAAAAATAATAATTAAATACATAGATGTCCAATGACTTAAATTAAAGACAAACAACAACACAAAGGACATTCTCTATTTTTATTATGAAGTTTGACAAATATCAGACTAACAAATCATCATTACAAGAACTCATAAGTATCTTCTTTTGTAAATATTTCTTTTAAAGACA